ATTTGAAGGAGTTCACCAACATTCAAACCTACTTCCACCTTTTGGTCCATTTGATCATGCTAGAGTGGGATGCAATTTCTACACAAAGGTTCTTTTTAAAAGGATGATGTGCCTTCCTCAAGGCCTGCACACACCTTACGTTCCAAGCTCATGGCTGTTGTGCCAAAGGGACACAAGGCACCTTTACCTTGCAGTAATTGGAAGCTTAAGGGGTGAGTACAGACCGTTCCCTATAGGTGTGGGCCTCAACCACAGCAGCTCTCTAATGCAAAGGGGAGGGCAGGAACAGATGGGCTAAAGTACACAAAAAGCATTCTCAAGCCCAGAGAAGAATCTCTGCCAGAAAATAAAAGGTATTCTATTAGGTTACATTTAATCGAAGGAACTTTGGGCAGTGGAAACCTTACAGAAAAGAACAGACCCAAAGTCCACAAATGAGTTTGCTTGAAAGGCTGGCTAGTGCCCCCTTTCCAAAGCAGAGAGGGGCCAAACCAGTTCTGCTGCCTCTGTAACAAAAAAGCCTCTAAACCAGGGGTGGTGACCTGCAATTCACAGCTAGGAATAACCCCTTTCCTATCTCACTGGGGGCCATCTGCTTTCACTGCTGCTGGTGAAGGCAGGAAGGAGCTGAGGAAGCACAGGCAACAGGCTGGATAGGGAGGGAAGGTGGGCAGCGACTTCTGCAGGTTCATGTGCGCTTGAGCCAGATGGAGTCAAGGAGGAGCGCAGTTCAAATATCAAATTTATCTACAGCTAAATGTCTGCCATTATTGTCAGGTAGCATGTTCTTGCAGAAAGAGGGATTATCTATTGCAAGGGACTTTGGCAAGGAGAGGATACAGACTTCCTGCAAGTGCCGCCCAAGGTTTCAGTTGGTATTAGGAGTGTTAGGAAACTTTGCCTTCATGGCATGTTCCTAGCCTCAAGGAACAAATGGCAGCCATTTGCTTAGATAGGAGAACATAATGGGTTGTCCACGTGGAAAGTCATTAATGCTTTAGGGCTGAATTTGTTCCCAACTCCAGAACTGTACGGATGAATGGAACTGTTTGTTATCAGTCAATTCTGCTTTCAAGACAAACATTTTCAAATAATTCATATTTTCTTTAACAAAGGAAAGGCATGGAGACTAGGGAGGGTCTTAGTCAAAGTTAACCATAGATATTCTCTGGACACTGGAGCTATAGGCTAATGGTTCCCCCACTCCCTCAGAATCATCAACCGAACACTCCAGTCTGGTCTAGAAGGAAGAGGAAAGAACGTACCTTCCTCTTGCTGCTACTTGGGGGTTTGTCTCTATCATTTTTTTCCTTCTCACCATCTTTCTGTGTGCTGTTCTCTTCATTCTGGTCATGATCTCCACTGTCATCATCCTTCAGACTGGCAAAGAAGTAAATAAAATAATGAGTTTGAAAGCTCATGACTGCTGTTGCTTCTGTTAAAAAAAAAAGTCTCAGTGTCCTCACATCAGCAAGCAATTGAGGAAAATGTTTTTATTTTCTTTTCTTTTCTTTAAAAAAGAGAGGTAATGATCCCACACTGCAGGTACCTGTAAACGTAATGCCATCTTGGAATAAAAGGAAGAACAAAAGACTTGCACTTCCTTTTTTTCCTGCCCTTTTTTGTATTGTCCGAAGAACTTTTGTAGCACATCCCTGGAAACCAATCCTATAGGAAACGGTTTTAAAAGCTGGATATGTTTAGCCTGCCCTATATTTGCCATTTTTTTTTAAAAAAAATAAAAATAAATAAATCCCTGACACCAGTTTAAAACTGTAAACTTATTGGGGCTAGAGACCTGTTTACACAGTTTATCAAGAAAAATAAAACATCACACGCATTGATGGTCATGTGAAATGGAGTTCCTCTTGCCTTAAACAGTCTCTAGCCTATCATCCAGCAAGGTCCCAGTCTCTTTCTTTCAGAGTTATTTTTCAAAGTGTTATTGTATGCCACTAGTTCACTACAAATTCAGCGCTTTCTTCTACCACATCTGCACACCCTACTACATCCCCCATAATACTTCTTTCCTGTGTCCTGATACATGCCACCATACCGGGGAAAGTATGTCAGCAGTGCTAAATAAACAGTGGCAGTTACATCAGGTCTTAGTGGAGTATTTTCTTATAGATGAGAACTGATTGTCTGCAATAAGAAAGAAGTGGGTACCTTGAGGCTGGACCCAAAGATGACAGTTGGGGGTTTGAACAGACAGGTGACTATCTCTTTGCCAGTTACAGGTGCATATCAGGCAGATACACCTGAGGTACAGTGGGGGAGAAACCCACCTCTTGATTTTTGCCTCTTAAAGACAGTGCCTGCGTCTGTTGGAAAAGTGGCAAGACTTGTGAACGTCAACAGTGAGATACAGCCCCTTTCTAAACAAATGCAAACTGTCACTCAACCACATTTTTTCTTTACCAAAGGGCAACACAGCTCAGTGACAGAGCGCCTGCTTTGCATGCAGAAGGTCCCAGGCCCAATGCACAGCATTTCCCGGTGGGTCTAGGAAAGCTTCTTGTATGAAACCCAGGAGAGCCACCACCAGTCTGTGTGGACTGGGGTTGGGCAGAAGGCAGAATGGGATTGATTGACAGATGGTTTTCGGTAGCTCAGTAAAGGGCTCTCTCAACAAGACAGATAAATTTTAAAGAATAAAAACAAAAGGCTTCCTCTTCCCCTGTTTGGCTGTCAAAATTCCTGATCCGCAGTGAATTTACACACAACTGCAAGGTGGCAGACTTTGAGATCCTTGCAATAAACCCAAGTACAGTGGTGCCTCGCAAGACGAAAAGAATCTGTTCCGCGAGTCTCTTCGTCTTGCGGTTTTTTCGTCTTGCGAAGCAAGCCCATTAGCGGCTTAGCGGCTTAGCGGATCAGCTGTTAAGCGGCTTAGCGGATCAGCTGTTAAGCGGCTTAGCGGATCAGCTGATAAGCGGCTTAGCGGATCAGCTGATAAGCGGTTTAGCGATCAGCTGTTAAGCGGCTTAGCAGATCAGCTGATAAGCGGCTTAGCGGCTTGGGAAAAGGGGGGGGGAAACCCTGCAGGAACTCGCAAGTCATTTTCGTCTTGCGAAGCAAGCCCATAGGAAATTCGTTTTGCGAAGCACCTCCAAAACGGAAAACCCTTTCGTCTAGCGGGTTTTCCGTCTTGCGAGGCATTCGTCTTGCGGGGCACCACTGTAGTTCCCACAGGCTTGAAGACTGCCCTTGCCCTCATTACTGAGCTCTGCCCCACATAGGAAGAGACCATACCTGTGGTAGCTCACAGGATCCAGCTGCAGGAAGGCCCTAGTTCAATCCCCAGCATCTCCAGATAAGGCAGGGAAAGGCTTCATCCTGAAGCCACTGTGCCTGCTACATCTTTTCCGCTGGACTCCAACTCCCATCATCCCATGCCACTGGGAGCCAGAGTCCAGCAATAACCTGAGGGCACCACTCCAGCTCTCCCTGCAGAGATGGCTGACTTGGAACGAGGCAAGCAGCTTCATTTTTGCTCTGGCCACTGATGGCTCTCACCCTGCGGTCTGCACTGTGCTCAGAATGCAGAGAGGCTGTGAACAGCCTCTGCTGGATCAGGCCAACAGCCCATCCAGTCCAGCACCCAGGGCCAGCCCAAAGCGCTTCAGCACTTAAGGCGGACCCCAAAACGGCTCCCCTACCCCAGGGGTAGGGGAAGATCTACACCGTGAACAAGGAGGGTGGGGTGGGGTGAGAGAAAGATCTACCTCGGGATCTGCTGCCGCTTCACCTTGCCTCATGCCTGTCCTCCACAGGGGCCAACCAGGGGCCCATTACAGTGGTACCTCTGGTTACGTACTTAATTCGTTCCGGAGGTCTGTTCTTAACCTGAAACTGTTCTTAACCTGGAGCACTACTTTAGCTAATGGGGCCTCCCACTGCCACTGCACCACCACCGCACAATTTCTGTTCTCATCCTGAAGCAAAGTTCTTAACCTGAGGTACTATTTCTGGGTTAGCGGAGTCTGTAACCTGAAGCGTCTGTAACCTGAGGTACCACTGTACAGGGAAACCCTCACGCGGGGTCCCACCACAAGAGTGACTCTCTCCCCTCCCGAGTCTTCCAGTACCGGTAACTGCCATTCAGGACCATTCATAGGAGCCAAATCATCGGGCTGAGATCCCTTCAGCACCACCAACCCAGTAAAAAACTAATGGGCATTGCCATTCAAAGGGTGATCGACTGTGCAGGGTGGTGCCTACCTGCTCCTACCCGCCCCGCCCCCCACCAACACAGTGGTACCTCAGGTTAAGAATTCGTTCTGGAGGTCTGTTCTTAACCTGAAACTGTTCTTAACCTGAAGCACCACTTTAGCTAATGGGGCCTCCCGCTGCTGCCGCACCGCCGGAGCACGATTTCTGTTCTCATACTGAAGCAAAGTTCTTAACCCGAGGTACTATTTCTGGGTTAGCGGAGTCTGTAACCTGAAGCGTGTGTAACCTGAAGCGTGTGTAACCTGAGGTACCACTGTATTTTATTCAGAATGGAAGCATTCACGGCCTCCAGCTCTGAGGGCAGAGCAGCAGCCCCGCCCTCCGTGAAGGGAGACCCCAACCCTCTTTCTGCTGGCCGAGGGGGGGATTTCGGCAGGCGCAGCTTCTCCCCCCCCCCGCAGCCCTGGGCGCCCCACTTGCCGTCACGGAGGGCGGCCTGCCTCCCTGCCCATCTCCGGCCCCCTCCGCGAGCGCAACGGCGGTTGGGGGCCGGGCCGAGGGCGACGGGGAGCCGCTTTGCACGGGGACCCCCCTCCGACTAGGCCTCAGCCGCGGCGCCTCCGACTCACGCGTCGAATTTGTTGTTCATCCTCCTCGGTGACTCTCTCGCCGCCGCCGCTTCGCCTCGCCTCCTGCCGCCCGCCCGGCTACTTCCGCTCAGCAGCCGCTTCCATAGACACGCCGCCTACGCCGCCCTCCTTTTGCTTCCGGCGGAACCTGGTTCCGCTCCCGGCCGGCTTCGCTGAGGCTGGTGTGCTGTGCGCGGCATCCGGTCATGTGACCGGCAAGCGGCCTTTGGGACTATGGTTTTCGACGAGCGTCTAGGGGTGGCGCTCTACATTTAGGCATCTCTATGGTGGAAGCGCGGACGCGGCTTTGAATCTAGAGGTAGGAAAAGGAGAGAGGAGCGCCTTCGTTTTCCGGATGGGCATTTCCTGGTTCACATCGAAAAGCAGTTTTTTTTAAACGTCCTCAGGGAGAGAGAGAGATGAGGAATCAGTGGGAAATCTGAGGTCTTGACGTGGTGTGAGGGGGCACCAGCATATGTCACCTGAGGGTCTTCTCCATGCACCCTCTCAGAGGGAGCTGGGGAGAGTGGGGCCTTCTCAGTGGTGGCTCCCCTTTATGGAATTCACCTGTGTGTTTGTGTGTAAAACCTGTGTATTTTAGGTTGTTTTATCCTAGTTTTCAGTGTTTGTTTTCCCCCCCAGTGGCTTAGGGTTTCATTTTTTTAAAAAGTGACCCAGAATGCAAATACAATGGTAACTCAGGTTACGTACTTAATTCGTTCTGGAGGTCTGTTCTTAACCTGAAACTGTTCTTAACCTGAAGCACCACTTTAGCTAATGGGGCCTCCTGCTGCTGCTGCGCCGCCAGAGCCCGATTTCTGTTCTCATCCTGAAGCAAAGTTCTTAACCCGAGGTACTATTTCTGGGTTAGCGGAGTCTGAAGCGTATGTAACCTGAAGCTTATGTAACCTGAGGTCCCACTGTATACAATAACAATTCTGTGACAATTCCAACACCACTTTCGGCTGGTTGATGGCACTCGAAAGAGAGGGACTTGCAATCGATACCTGGCCAGTGTACACATTCATGGCAGGGGAGTGGCTAATCCATGCGCCGTCATGGCCCCTATGGCAGCAGGGCATAGCTGGTGGGCACGACCCCATGTCTTGCACAATGCAGTTTTCTGACCAAACAGGCGCATCATACAAAAAATGTGTTCTGTCAAGGAAATGACTTCTTTACAGTGAAACATGAAATTAATATTCCCTATAAAGGGGTCGCAGCCTCGTAGGGAGGACCGAAACTCTCGGAAGAGCACCGTTGGTTAGGCTCCACTCCAGTCGGGAAATGACAAAGACCAACACCAGGATTCAAGAAAGCAAAGTCTGATCTTTATTGAAAGAACGGGGGGGGGGGCCTGTTGCAACAGGGTCCCCCTGTCGCCTTATGAGGCTTTGTCCTCGGGTGGGAAAAATATTGCACCCGGGAAAGGGAAGTGGGAGTTGTTTTACTGCTTTTTCTCCATGACCCTGGAACACTTGGACACTGGGATACTGGGACACTCCCTCCTCCTACCGTAATTTCTCACTCAGTCACCTCCTCACGTCTTATCAGTGGCCTGTACGGACTTGCCAAAGACTACACACCGCTCCGCCAGGGACTCTGAGGTACCTTTTTCCTCGAGGTACCTTCTTTCGGCCGTTGCTTTTTCTCCGGTCCTTGCAGTGTCTCCACTCAGGAACGGGTGGCAATTCCTCCCACGAACTTAGCAGGATGTGCACTGGAACTGCGGACACCGATCCGAGCTGTTCACCACAGGGACGCCTTGGACCCAACATCCCTTATCCTCGGGGAATGCTGTTTTTCCTGACCAACGCACCAAGAAATGTAGCCTTATGAGGCTTTGCCCTTGGGTGGGAAAAATATTGCGCCCGGGAAAGGCAAGTGGGAGTCAACAGACACTCAAGGAATAGTTTCAGAGAAAAAGCTTTATTTCTACCATCCATGAACTGGTAGAAGGAGCAAGTGTGATAACTCACAAAAAGCATGCAGGGGTTCACAGTCATGTGCACAGAGTATATATTCCCCTTCCTGTTCCCTCCCCTTTCTCCTCCCTCAGTAGTCCTGCCCTGAGTTCCCCTGAGCATGAACAGAAAGCTGTCTTGGGACTCTTGGACTCTTGGCACCCTTCCCAGGAAAGGGGAGTGAGAGCCAAGGGGTCGAGGAGCCCTGGTGGTTCAGCATGTCCAAGATGTTGCAACCGAATGAGATAAGATTCAGTTCTCAGGCCTGCTTTGAACAGAGCCTATTCATTTGCTTTTTGAAGCCTTCTTGTACTGATTAAAAAGTAACGGTTTGCCTATGCACATCATCTTGTGAGAAAAAGCAGAGGAAAACTTTAGCTGTGGATTTTTAGAAGACAAAAGGAATTTTGGACAGTTTTGAGGCCTGAGGTGATTATTGAGGGGGCATGACTTCGGGCCTAGGTGGGGTCACCTGTCCTCACCTTCCTTCACCCCCTCATGTAACAAGGACGGAGTGAGAACCTTGAACAAAAGAGCTGCCTTGGTTTTTATATCTTTTGGTTTCCATACAGATCTATGACAAAGAACAGCGGGGGTGGCAGAAAGTGTGAAGAGAGGATTAACATAAGGTAAGTAGGAGTTTGTAAGATCTTGGGAGGTGTCAATTTTGCTGGAGGGCTGAAATAATATGTGTTGAGCTTTTTATTTATCTTGGATCTGGTTAATGGCTTTCCCCTTTATCTACAGGAAAAACCAGCTATGCAGATCGTGAGGCTGGATGTTCGGGAAATAGTTTCAATGTTAGTGTGAAATCCTGTTCTGCATAGCTATCAATTCAGGTGTGATAATCTCATGTTTGCATACTTATTGGAAAATAAAACTAAGAGCTTGTATTTGTGTGTATTGTTTGCAGACCCAGTAGATGGCAGTGTGGGTATAAATAAGTTGTTCTTTTATTGATGACTCTACATCCTATGATTCTGCGTGGTCAACCTTCCAGGGACAGGACCCGACTTGGACATAAGAACATAGGAAGAGCTTCCTGGATCAGGCCAATGGCCCATCTAGTCCAGCATCCTGTTCTTGCAGTGGCCAAGCAGATGTCTGTGGGAAGCCAGCAAGCAGGATCCGACCACAAGATCCCTCTTCCCTCCTGTGGTTTCCATGAACTTGCATTCAGCAGCAAACTGTGGAGGCAGAGCAGAGCCAACATGGCTAGAGCGTCCATCAATAGCCCTCTCCTCCACGAATTTATCCCATCCTCTTTATAAGCCATTCAGGTTGGGGGCCACCACTGCCTCCTATGGAAGCTCAAGTCCCACCGTTTCTCTACGTGCTGCGTGAAGAAGGACTGTCATTTATCTGTCCTAAATTATCCAACATTCAGCTTCATTGGAACGAAACTCTAGTGTTACAAGACAGGGAGAAAATCTTCTCTCTATCCGCTTTCTCTAGGCCAGGCACAATTTATTTATATATATATATATATATATATGCTTTCGTAGATTTTCACGGGTACAGGAATGCAGGTTTTGGTGTCCTCGGGTGTCTTCCCGTGTAAAAGTTGGGGTGTCTAGGCGACGTTTCGACGAGGTCTCACTCGTCATCTTCAGGCTGGTGCTTTCGGCTTCTTGTTACTGGAACAGAGCAGGATCTCAGTGTTTGAGTTCCTATAAATACTGTTGAGGGGGTGTGGTGTATAGCCTCCAATGTTCTGGGCAGAGAGGAAGTTCCCAGGCTAGATATATATATATATTCATTTTTCTTTTTCATTCATTACATACATCTCAAATTCTTAACATTTGCTATACATTCCTTCCTCCCTCCCCTCCAAGGCTTCCCCCAACTTCCGCTTCTGGTTTGTTTCTATTTTCACCCACTTTGCTATCTCTTAACAGAAAAAGTTATTAATAACATAACTTCAAACCTAAAGACATAAAAATAACAGTAAATACACCATCATATTTCACTATCTTCTAAACATTTTCTAATGCTAATAATGTGAATGTTTGTTTCTGCAAATATAATATGAATGGTTCCCAATCTTTTTCAAAGTCTCTGTTGTCTTTCTCTCTTAGTCTATCTGTCATTTTCAGTATTTCTCCAGTCTTCCAATTTTGTGCAATCAACATTCTTGCTGCTGTAATGGCACACATAAATAAAGTCCTCATTTCCTTTGGTATGTCTTGACCTAAAATACCTAACAAAAAGGTTTCTGGGTTTTTTACATGTCAGGAACAATTTTATAAGCTTCTTTCGTGTCGCCACTTACTCACCTTTTATCTGAACCAGAGTTTTCCGACACTTGGGTCTCCAGCTCTTTCTGGACTACAATTCCCATCATCCCTGACCATTGTTCCTGCTAGTGAGGGGTGATGGGAGTTGTTTTCCAAAAACAGCTGGAGACCTAAGTTTGGGAAACCCTGATCTAAACCCGAAAGTCCCAAACACTGCAACCTTTCTTCATAGGGGAGTCACTCCACCCCCTTGATGACCAACCAGAACCTTCCCCAGAATCTAACACTGTCTCTTGATCATTGGCCCCACTCCTCCAGCTCATCCATTCCTTAAGAGAGAGAGAGAGAGTGTGTGTGTGTGTGTGTGTGTGTGTGAGAGAGAGAGAGAGAGAAGTGAGAGTGAATGTGTCACTTAAGCTGATAGTAGGAATGCTGTAGCTTCACACAATGTGTAATTAACTTGGGGAATTTTTTTACCGCAGGATGTGGCGAGCTCAGTACTTTAGATTTACAAGGGGATCTGAGAGATGAATGGGAGATACGATTCAAATCCTGACTGGGTAACTTTGCTCACTAGTAACATTGAACCATGAGGACGAGATGGTTGGACAGTGTTCTCAAAGCTAGCAGCATGAGTTTGACCAAACTGTGGGAGGCAGTGGAAGACAGGAGTGCCTGGGACAGGTGAGGCTGCTGATCCCTTATTTTGGCTGCTGATCCCTTATTTTCAAATCTGAAAGTTGACAGCTATGGTGCTGGGGCACCTGCCTGTTTCCTCTTCTTCATCCTCCTCCTCCTCCAAGCTCCCAGCCTCCAGTACTTCCCAGCTCCTCTCCTCCTCTGGGGTGTGTCCAGTTTCCCACCACCAGGAGCCAGGATCCAAATCCCTCTGTGGTTTCCCTGGGGGTCCCTTGTCCAGGTCTCCTCCGCCATCCCTCCACATCTAGCCCGTCCCTGACAGTGCGATCCTTGGGTAAAAGAATACCCACCTGGATGAAATTAGGAATATTTGTTTCTTTATTCAATTTATAATACATTGTGTGGCGAGTTCCTGCTCCCCGCCCCAGTGGAAATCATGGCACATGACACAATTATTGAGGTTAATGGGCTAAAAAAGGCCACAACTTTATTGGTTACAGGTGATGAGCGGTATTGGCTTAGGCATTGGTCCTAACCGACTATATCCGACTTCAGCCCGTCCGCTTGAAGTCCAGGAAGGGTTAACCACCATTATAATAAATAATAATAATAATAATACATTTTTATTTATACCCTGCCCTTCCTGGTTCAGGAAACTGAGCTCAGGGCGACTAACAACAAATTTAAAACACTTAATGCTACAGTGGTACCTCAGGTTACATACGCTTCAGGTTACAGACTCCGCAAACCCAGAAATAGTGCTTCAGGTTAAGAACTTTGCTTCAGGATGAGAACAGAAATGGTGCTCCGGCGGTGCGGCAGCAGCAAGAGGCCCCATTAGCTAAAGTGGTGCTTCAGGTTAAGAACAGTTTCAGGTTAAGTACGGACCTCCGGAACGAATTAAGTACTTAACCTGAGGTACCACTGTACCAAGAAAACAGCATAAAATACGGTATAAAGCGTAAATAACAATAAAATCAAAAATCAATTTAGGGGGGAAATCCATCCAATAGACATTAGATGATCACCAGGGCTAGCTGGCTAAATTAGTCCCACTTGGGCCAGCGAGGAGACCAGGGGAGAACCAGCTGTGGGATCCCAGAGCGGGCAATCTTCACAAAAAGGGGAGGGGGAGGGAAGGAAGGCGAATAAAAGATCAGGCCAGGTTCAAATTGAAAGCCAGGTGGAATAGTTCTGTCTTACTGTCTTAGAGGGAGTCCTGCTGATGCACATCAAATAGGAGCTCCCCCAGGGTCACTGATAGGGGGCGTGCCTTAGGCCCTCACCTCCCTAGGCTTCAGACAGGGCCACGCCTCCCTGAATCCTTTATCGGACCACCCTTCAATATCCGGGGCAGGTGATGGCGCTTCCTCCCCTCTTCCAACTACAGAATTATACCAATGCCTAACCGCCAATACCCAAAAAGTTGTGACAATTTGCTATGAGCTAGGTGAAAACCAAGTGGCTGATGCCAATTTGCCAAGTGGAAAAATTCCTACCAGGCCCCTCAACGGCGACCAACCAAGGTCCATAGCAAGGTCAAGGAACGAAAACCTTATAGGGTCGGAGGGTGGGAAAACAGAACAGCTGAGGAGCGGCAAAGAGGTAGGTCCCCGGCCACATCCTGCCTTAAATAGGGCAGGCCACGCCCCCAGAACCAGCCGCTTGGCTGGCCAGGGGGTGACACGGCTGGGAAACCCCCCAATCACGCGGGGGCTGGGCTCCAGCCTCCGCACGCATGGTGGGGCTATGACGCCTGCAACCCCACCTCCTTGGAAGGGTGGAAGTGGCTTTTGTTCTCCCAGAGGAGTCCTGGGCAGCAGAAAGCTGTCAACGTTCCCCTTTTTTTAAGGGAAATTCCCTTAATCCGAATAGGATTCCTCACAAGAAAAGGGAAAAGTTGACAGCTATGGCGGAAACATAACCATCAGTGGCAACATTTAAATATTCTAAATATTCTAAAACCAGTTTAAAACATGTAGATATGAAAGGGGCAATTCAGCTGTCGGGAAGATAGCCCATCTCTGCAGCCCACCCACCACCGCTCTATGTGCAGAAATAGCCCCCCTTCCCCTCTGGAACTTAGTAAGGAATAGCACAGAGCTTAAAGGGTTGTGGCACCATGGCCAATCCTCCAGTTATAGGCTTGATGCTGACGCTCTTCACTCCTTCTGGAAGCTGTAATTTAAAAGCCCGCAGAAGTTTGGTGAAGACAATGAAGAGTTCGGTTCGCGCCAAGCGCTCCCCCACACAAATGCGATGCCCTGCATGGGGAGGAACATTGAGATCCAGGTTAGTTAGTCAGTCTTGCTTATTCCTCGCTGACCAGGAAAAGGTGACACTATTCCATAAGGCTCACACAGCCATTGTCTGTGACACACACAATGTAACATACATTGTGGGGCATCTGCGGGCATTTTTCTGGGCTGGGGTGGGAGAGAGGGCACACTTACCTACTGCAAAGGGCATGAAGGCTTCCTTGCAGAAGAATTTTCCATCTTTGTCCAGGAAGTGATTTGGGTTGAACTGATGAGGCGTCTCCCAGTGGTCAGGGTCATACAAGACAGAAGCTACATCGGGGATGACGACGGTGCCCTGCAAAACCATTAAGTAATGATTATAATCAACTCCTCAGTTCCAGTGTATCCACATATGGACAGATCAAAGTAAGCTCCTAGACAGATCTGCTTTGGGTGATTTCCTCCCCTTGCTGCTGTGGGTGTCAAGAGAAAGGGGTGCATATTTCCTCCTGCTGGAAGATGATAAGAAATCAGAGTGGGAATGGAATCTTAAGTACAGTGGTACCTTACTTGTTGAACTTAATCCATTCTGGGGTCCGTTTGACTCCCAAAACCACTCAAAAACCAAGGCGCTGCTTCCGCTTGGCTTCAGGAGCTTCCTGCACTCAATCGGAAGCCACGTCAGACGTTCGGCTTCCAAAAAACGTTCGCAAACCGTAACACTCACTTCCGGGTTTGCGGCATTTGGGAGTCGATTTGTTTGGGAGCCAAGACATTCAACAACCAAGGTACCACTGTACTTCTGTATGATATTTGCATAACTCAAATACGTTGGGTGGTATTTTACTGAGGTTTTGCTCATTTGCCTGCTGAAATTAATGAACACGACCAAGTTAGGTCCGTAAATTTCAATGGGTCTACTTAGTGCTAAGGCCACTCTGAAGCAGAGCCGGGAACCTGTGGCCCTCCAGATGATCTGACTTAATATAAGGT